TTGAGTCGATGCAAGGAAGCGAATCATCTTTTCCGTCTGGTGTGTAAGTTTTGAAGGCCTCAACACCTCTGCCGGTTGCAAATGTGCCAGTCTTGTTTCCAGCTCCTGTCGCGTCAGTCCGTCTTGAAACTGATCGTACGTCACGCTGCCTGTCGCAGCTTGGACGGCGATGAGCCCAACGGCAATGCGATCGTCACGTCCGCTGCCCCCTTCAGACTTTTCAACTAGGGCAAGCAGACTTCGCGGTGCTGCAGGATTCGAGAACCCGTGCTCCTCATGAATCGCGGCAGCAGAAGAGCTCGCATCGGAGGACAAGTCGTCCACCCACGTCGAAGCAGTATACAAAGCGGTCAGCTCCCTCGTGAAAGGTGCAGAAGCGTTTGTGGATGCCGCCTTGAGAGCTCGGGTCTCAGTCTGAAGGCGAATGAGGTTTGCTCGTCAGGCCCTTTGACCACACCGCCTTGCACGTTGGGACTCACTTGCCTGACAACGCCAACTTTATAGCCTGCTGAAATGAGGCGCCTTACGTGTATGTGGAGCCTATGAACAGGGATCATGGCGGTCATCTATACTTAGAGCGGGCAATCATCAGCGGCGCGCCAATCCAAGCACGACAGGCAGGGTCATCCCTTACCAGATTCTTCTCGGCAAAGCACATGATGCTCAGCTCTCGACTGGCGATGCGGGCGTCGTCACCATAGAATTTGAGCTGAAGCGGCGCGGAGTCAGTCGACCTGCGTAGACATGCATTGGGAACGCCTGGCAGCTGACCCACCTTGTAGCCCACCTGCCGCGCAAGAGTAGATACAGTGCCGGTGCATATTCTTTTAGACCACTGGACGGCACAGTGGTCCCTATAGAGCTTGACTCACCTCTATGATTAGCAACACACCGGGGTACTGCGCTTTGAGTGCAAGTATCTGCTTCTCTAGCGGCGTGTACACGACACCATCCCGGGCTTGTTTTTCTTTCGCCTTGCCTTTCGACGCGCTCTTCCCCGTCGCAGTGGTCTGCGCCTGAGGTGCCGCATACTTGCTCAATCGACTTGATGTATCCTCGTCATCCTGATCTTCCAAGATATCAACGGCCTCCTGCTGTTTGTCCGTCTCCAAATCGTTTTCCAGGTCTTCGCGGGAGTCGCCGACGCTCAGGCTTCCGCGTTCACGGCCG